GAAACAGCGGTGGGCAGTAAGAGGGTGCTGAATTTTGCACTATAACAATTCTGCATCCTGGGAATGAAACCAGAGATGCCAGAAGGGAAAACTGCAGCTGTGAGGGAAAGAGGTTTTTATTTTAAACATATGTTTTAATAACTCAGAAGAGCTAGACTGGAATCTGCAGCTGGAGGGAGAATCTTGTCACTAAAATGTATACCTCTTGCTGTGCAGCATAATATCCCACAGAGTGGAAGATCTTCCAGGAATAGCCCATGTTTCAATAGACATAACTATGAAATGAACAAAAGGCATACAATTCTGGGCAGCCTATTTTAGAGAAAGTGAAATTTTTCAAAAGATACAGGGACAAAGTCAATTTGCAGTTGTGCTAAGAAAAGGCTAAGCCATTACAATACCTGGTCACACATTCTATTGCACATTAATGAGCACTTAGCCAATGGACTGGAGCAGGTAGGTCTCTGTTCTACCTTGTGCCCATGACTTTCTATTATGAAAAACAGTGAAAAATCTATTCCATTCCAAGTTGTATCTAGAGTGCATCCCTAAGCATTGAATGAATAAATCCCAAAAACTCAAAATACAGGCTTGTTTTCCAGGAATTATTTATACTGCAATTTACACTACTGATGGTAACAATGAAAAAGATTTCAATACACACACACACAAAAGTCACTGCTAAACAACGAAGATAACAAAGATTCAAATACAGTGGGGTCTTGACTTGAGAACTTAATCCGTATTGGAAGGCGGTTCTCAAGTCAAAAAGTTCTCAGGTCAAATCTGCATTTCCCATAGGAATGCATTGAGATGGAGGGAGCGAAGTTTAACTACTTCACTTTTGTCAGCTGGTTATAGAGTTGCAAACTTTACTCATTCCTGGTAGGCATCCCAAAATGATTCACAACTCCTTTTTATTTTCACCTTAAAATAAACTGCCTATAAACCATTAACAACCAGCCTCATATAGGTGTTTTCCTCCACATTCATGTATGACAAAGGCTCCAAGAAATCCTAAATGGCTAACCTTGCAAATGTTGTATAGTTCCACAAGATCTATTATCTTAAAGCCCAGCGACTGATCTCTAGCACCAGTTCAGGTTTTTTTAAAATTCCATTTTTGAAGGAGATGAGAAATTTAACTTTCAAGTTTGTGGGGGTTTTCTCCAACTTTTTTCTCGTTTATTAGGAGGTATCATCACGAGGAACCTTTTATTTATTTATTTATTTTAAAGTCATTTTCGAAGTCAGCCGTTCTTTTAAAAGCCATATCTGTTGATCAGCTCCGCTACAACGGGTCTGTCCCCACGTTCGCGAGCCTGCTAAGGTGGCGGCTGCTCAGCAGGCACCACCGTCCTGCCTCCCCCCCAATACATATATACACTTGCCCACCCGTTCTTCTCAATCGACACAAGGAAAACAAGCCAATTTGTCGGCCGCCTCGGCAATCTGGTCGCCCGGGGAGAGCAGACTCCGAAGGGCAGCAGCAGCAGGCATTTTGGCGAGGGGGGGGTGCGGCAGAGCAAGGCGAGAAAAACCAATGGCCGAGTAACACTTATTTCCCCATACAGAGCAGGGCCGGCGTGGAGAGAAAGGGGCAAGGAAGCCACGTTCCTGTGCTCTCGGCCCGATCCGAGGCGCCGCATCGCCTCTCCATTTGAAACTGACCAGCCCTCCTCCTCCTCCTCGTTCGCCGCATCCTCCCGTCTCCCTCCTTCCACTCCGCCTTCCCTCGCCGGCTTCACCAATCGGCTCAGCCCTGGCTGCAAATCAAACTTGGTGCTCTCGGCTCCGCTCCCGAGCTCTCTCCCAAATCCACCTCTCTCGTCACTCAAAAGGGGGGGGGGCTTTACAGCACTCCTCGCTGCTGGCTTCCCTCCCTCTGATCTCCATGTTGTAATGTCTGGGGAGGGGAAAGCAGACAG